GGCCGCTTAGGACGCAGTCATGTGATCCATCATGGGAACCACCACTCACAAGTGGAGTCCAGCCAAGTTGACACATCTTCAACTATCACACCATCCTTTTGAAATCTGATTAAGTAGTTTTTGGTATATTCACAAATTGTTCAACCATCACATTATCTAACTGCAGAATATTAAAAAGAAAAAAGCATATATTGTGTTTTCACTTAAAATTTACACAGCAAATTGGGTTCAGTGTAACTAATTGTTCAATGACATTATTTACATTTTTCACAATGTGTTAACTCTCTTGTAATGGCATTCTGGTTGTTCCATTTCTAGTGCTCTGGTTTCCTTGTCCCTATCTTCTCATCTTTACTTTAGAGTATATAAGACCTTCTGGTCTCGAATAGATTTTTTTTTTTTAATGGAGCACTATATTCCTTTATTTTGTGTGCCAGTTGATTATTTCATTAAAAAGTAACCTGAGGGGATAGTTTTGGTTCAAAGTTTAAAAAGTATCTTAGGGTGATAGTCTCAGGTAGTCCTCTAGTCTCAACTGGTCTAGTAAGTGTGGACCTTTTAAGAATTAGAGTTCTGTTCCATGTTTTTCTCCTGTTCTACCATGGTCCATCTATTGTGGCCCTGATTAGGGTGGTTGGTAGTGGTAGTTGAGCACCATCTAGTTCTTCTGGTCTCAGGGTAGATGAATCTGTGGCTCATGTAGGCCTAGTGAGGTAAGTAGCATCTGGGGTCTTAAAGCTTACAAGAAGCCATCTAAGATACAAATACTAGTTTCTGATCAAGAAGAAAACAGAAAGATGGAAACCAAAGCCTCAGAGGAAAAATTATTTTTAGCTAAATCTGTCCTTGACCTAGGGTATATTCCTGTTCGCCGCCCCGACCTGATCTTCTCAGTGGTCTATGCATTTATCTGTAGCCTGGTGTTTGGTGTTAGTGGTAATGCAATATTGTGCATATATTATTATTTGCCTTTCTTGTCTATATCTTAGGTGCATGTTTCAGTGTCCTTCCTTTCCCCAATGTCATCATGCTGGTCACAGACTCTTTCTATACCATCCCTCCTCTCACCCAAATCAACATGTAACACCCAAATAGTCTGAAATTTTCCCTCCTCTTCCCTCCCTTCCCTGGTAACCTACAAAGTGAGTTTCCTTCCCTAAGTAAACCCTTTCTTTGACTTTTTACAATAATGGGCTCATACAGTATTTGTCCTTCTGTGATTGACTTATTTCACTCAACATAATGTCCTCCAAATTCATCCATGTTATGAAATGATTTGTGTATTCTTCATTATTCTTTAATGTTACATAGTATTTCATTGTGTGACTGTACCATAATTTGGTTATCCATTCCTCTGTTGATGGCATTTAGGTTGTTTCCATTCTTTGCTATAATGAATTATGCTGTGATAAACATGAATGTGCATATGTCTGTTCATGTTCTGTCTCTCACCTCTTTAGGATATATTCCTAGTAATAGAATTGCTGGATCAAACAGTATTTCTATTTTCAGTTTTTTAAGGAAACACCATACCATTTTCCACGATGATTATATTATTTTGCAGTCCCACCAGCAGCGTACACTTGTTTTTTGGTTATTGTTAATGTTTTTGCCAAATTATGTATGTGTTATTATTTAGCATAAACATCCTTTTCTCTTGTGTGCTTCTTATTCTGCATATACTATTAACTTTTGATGAAAATTCTTGTAGATCTCTCTCTATATATTATATGTTGTTGTTTGCCGTCGAGT